AATCTAAAAGGGAGAAGAAGAGCCAGAGCAACAAACATGCCATGACTTTAATGTGGACTTGAGTGCTGAGGTCCTTAACACCAACACCGCTTTTCTTGAGACGTTTTGTGTGTTTCCACAGAGAGACAAGAAAAAGAATGAATGCGATTGTGCTTAAGAACACATTTATGACAAATTCAGAGATCTGAATGGGAAGAAATCTAATACCAGGAGTGCCACAAGCCTCTCTTCGGCTGGCATTCTCCGGCAGAGGTTCTGTCAGATTGCACCACTTTGTGCGTCCAAAATAGCAGACCATTGAAGGAAGACAAGAGACTATGAAAACTGCTATGGACAATCCAAGCAGCCTGGGTGCAAGCATATTGACCCTTGCTTTCAGCCAGAGGAAGAGTGGGTTGGCAAAGTTGGCGACCTTCATCTGCTTAAAAAAAAGTGGGTTGAAATCAATTGATTCATTTAATTATCTGGTTTCTTTTTTTCCCCAGTTGTCTAAAAGAGGCAAGATAAAGATAAAGTATTGTATTCTTTATGTGAAGCACTTTACATCAAAACATAGTGAAATGAACTTAAGAAAGAGCAAATTAAAATTACATGCGTCTGCCACTACAGTAATTGTAAACACAGATCCACTGAAGCCAATCTAAACTGCAATGAAAATTGTAATATCATCAAGCAAGAAATGCAAAAATAAGGAGAAAATGCAAACATTAACTTAGAAAATTTACAGAAGGAATGCATTATCATAGTGTGTTGGTTTCTTTTTATATGCATTCTGCAGCACTCATCTAATATATGAACATTATTTATAGAGTATACATAAACTATTCAGGCCCAGACCTGTTACTGTACGATAACGCTAGGAAAGGGAATTTACTATCCTATATAAAAGAAGCAGTAGTTAGACCACTGCTGAAAAAGTTCTCCCTAGATCCCTTGGCCCTTAAGTGTTTAACCTTCTCTTTTTGGGCAAGGTGGTTGAGAAGGAAGTTGCCCTTCAGAGCAGGATATGGAGGAGACTGCAATGATTTCCTTTGTGCCCATGTGTCAAATGCAAGGCATGCTACACCTCTGGGAGAGATAAATTGCTATCTCATTTTAAAAAATCAAAACAACTTTGCTCCTAGTAAACATTTCCTTCCTGGGAATCCAGCCTAAAACAGAAGGCCTCACCATCTCTGCAGTTATTCCCCTTCCTAACTCAAGCATCCTTTACCAGTCCTTGCCACACTGACCTTAGCTAGTCCCTACTCCTGCTCCTCCTACTGTTCCTGCTGCTCTTGGCATTCCGCAATGTTTAATTGCCAGCCACTTTGCAAAGTTTACAACTGATGGGGAGATATTGGAAAAAAATAGATATTTATTTATGCATAAATTGTATGCACTTTACAAGCACTGAAATGTATAGAAAATCAAGTTCCCTCTGTGTAAGAAAGCCAGCAGGAAAGAGAAGGAATGTTGAAAGGGGGAGAAGAGGGTGGCATGTTATCTATACATTCCAGAGAGAGAGACTGGTACAACAGGAGCCTATCCTCCCGCCCCACCCCCCCCCCCTTCCGTCATGACAACTCAAAGTAGGCCCCTTGATTGATGAATGTAAGCTGTAAGCTGTAGGCTGCTCTTTAGAAAAAAATACAGAGCATGCCTTTTGTATGTTGGAAGATTGAATTTGATATTCCTATGATGCTAAAGTGACACAGAGAATAATGTCAATGTATGTAGAAGCATGTTTCTTTGTTTGCCTTCATTTGGAGGGTATAAAAGCCATAGTCTATGCCTTGATTGGGTCTCTGGTGCTTTTGGACACAGCTCCACTCCAGAGTCCCAGCTGGAAGTAAGCCCGTGCTTTTTCAGACCTTGGGAACTCTCTTTATCTCTTTTCCTGAAACCTTCTCCCTGCCATTTCACAACATTCACCTCTTATGATAAAAAAGACCCTTGGAAAACAATCATACTTGGCCATAAGTGATCACTTATAGAATACATAGAACTACAAGTTGGGGTCCAGCAATAAAAAGAACAGAGGCGCATCCTTAGAAGCGGGAGCTCCTGTTTCTTTTAAGAAGGACATCCAGGTGGCATCCCAAAGAAAAGCGAGTATATTCGGCACAAAGGAGAAAAAATTTTCAGCTGAAAAGACGTGGGTCTCTCAAAAGAACCGTGTCTTTCCAGTTGTGGGGGCTGTGTGGATTGGGCCTGGGGAATGCATTGAGCGACTTCCAATCCCAATCCACACAGTTGTCTTGGGATTTTTGGGCTGCTGGAAGTCAAGACAACACCACCCCCCTCCCAAAACTCCTTACAAAGCCTTAAAACCAGGGAAATAACGCATGCAGCAACCATTTCCCCCTTCTCCTAAGCTCTTCTGGCATGTGTCAATGACATACCTACAGGAGGGATGGCCAGAAGTGATTTTCCTGCCCCCCCCTTCTGTAGGCAAGCCAGAAGATCTCAGGAGAAGGGGAAATGGCTGCTGCATGAGTTATTTCCCTGGTTTTAAGGTTTTATTAAAAGGTTTTCTTTTGTGTCCTTGCTAGAAAGCTCGGCAGAGCATCTGGACACCCCACCCCACCCCACCCCAAAAGCATGCGTTTCCTGAGGGGTGGGCACAGACTTCAATGCAAGTCCAATTGGGTTTTTAAAACCCAATTGGGCTTGCATTAAAGTGCTGTCTGGAACAAGCCCAGATCATACAATCAGGAGACTAAGTGAAACACTGCTCTTTAATAAACAGACCAAAGAGAAAATGAAATAACATTTGAAGAATTTATTTTATGAGATACAAGGAAGGCAGTCACAAGGGGCAATTTTATTATTCAATTATGAATAAAGAGAAACAGTCAGAGAAGAGATACAAAGGAACATTGGGGATATATTAAAAGAGCATAAAAAGGGACTAAGCAATCAGGGGCAAAATTATCTCAAAGAAGATTAGAATCATACAACAACGTCTATAATTGATTTATTTCTAGAAAACATATATTACTGAGCTTCCAATAGTCAAAATCAGGCAATCTGGACTATAATGATTTGGAAAATGAATGGTTGGGTATTATGTTTTCTGTTGTTTTTATTACATTGTTATAAACTTGTTTACAATTTTACAAAAAGATGCAAAGTTGAATAGAACTTGGAAAATCAGTGCTTCAGATTCTATCCAAAAATCCAGGAAACCTGAGGTATCATTTAGTGATGGAGGCTAATCAAAGTAGTATCATTTTTTGTTGTTTATGGAAATTTCAGATATGTGTAAGTCCATTTTCGGACTACTCTCATATCACTTATTACCAATTGATTTTATTTTGATGAGGGCTATTCAAAGTAGTATCATTATTTGTAGTTGTGATCCTATTTATGGAAATTTCATTCAGATGTATGTAAATCCATTTTCGGATTACTCTCAGATCACTTATTACCAACGGATTTGATTTTGATGAATGCTATTCAAAGTAGTATTATTGTAGTTATGATCCTATTTATGGAAATTTCATTCAGATGTGTGTAAATCCATTTTTGGATTTCTCTCAGATCACCTATTACCAACGCATTTGATTTCAACTCTTGGATCTGCTTTAGAAGTTTTGAATTAAGATCTCAAGTTTCGATCAATAACTTCTTACCTTCCTGGAAATTCACTACATGTGGAAAAAGGCCTTTCCTTATTATGACAATGCTAACATTGATTTGAAATATTTTTAGACACATTTTGACATTCTATCTGATGTTTAATGGCTTCACCTTATACATTTTTTCTTTTGAATTACAATACAAACTAAATTGTATATCTTTACTCCACATTTTCCCCATACATACGTTTGTACATTATGTTCCAAATTTTGGGCCCACCTCATTATGTACCTTTCTACATATCCATCTTTTGTTGGATTAGGGCTCTGGGAAATCAGGGTTCAAATCCCCGCTCAGCCATGGACACTCACTGGCTGACCTTGGCCAAGTCAAACTCTTAAGAAGGTAATGGCAAACTCTCTCAGAACAAACCTTGCAAAAAAAGTGACTACAAAACCAAAACAAATATCTAGCGATGTATCTTACATCAGATTTCAGGGGAAAAGGCAGATGTTCCAAGAATGCAGGTTGAAGCAATGTCCGTCTTACAAACGTATAATTCCAAGATGAATAATGATGAGGATTTGTGGAAGTACCAACTTCCCAATTATTTGTAATGTGTAGTGATTCAATTATGGTTATCTACTGTTCATACATACATGTTTGTTTGTTTGTTTATGACATTTCTACCCTGCCTATCTCACTCCGGAGGGGATTCAAGATTGCAACAATTTGATGCCTTAAAATACAATGTACACTTAAATAAATATTAAAATATAATTTAAAAATACATTTAAAACAATTAAAATGTTTAAAAAGAATACACTCAAAGTTAAACACGTAATCTATGAGCGTAATCGGGCCGTTTCAAAGGGCATTGCACATTGTTCCAAATCTACCTATTGCACAAGTTCTCTAAAGGCTTGGTCACAAAATCACATTTTCACTCTCTTGCAGAAGGTCAGAAGGGAAGGGGGCTGATCTAACATTGCTGGGGAGGGAGTTCCATAGCCAAGAGGCCACCACTGTCTCTCATGCCCGGCAATCGTGCCTGCGAGGGAGGCGGGATCGAGAACAGGGCCTCCTCAGATCATCTTAAGGTCCTAGGTGGCTCATAGCGTGAGATACATTTGGACAGATAAGCTGGGCCAGAACTGTTTAGGACTTTATAGGCTAAAACCAGCACTTTGGATTGTGCTTGGTAGCAGAATGGCAGCCAGTGGAGCTAACATACCGGGGGGGGGGGGTTATGCTCCCTGTATGACGCTCCAGTGAGCAGTCTGGCTGCCACCCGTTGGACCATTTGTAGCTTCCAAACAGTCTTCAAAGGTAGACATATATATACATATGAATACATAAACTCACTTAAATAGGGACAAGAATGTCTTCAACTCTCTTATACATAAGGGTTGGATTTCAGCTGCCCTTTTTCCATGTTATAAAGTGCTGTGCCTAATGTTTACGATATGAGCATATATATTTTTAATGATGCAAGCAGACATTTCTTTCAGTTTAGGATTGGTTAATATTAATATAATGGGATGAGCGGAAGAAAATGCAGACATCAAGATGTCAACAAGCAGTCCTTCCAATTGTAAAGTATTAAGAGCGATGTTGGTATGGATTATCAGACCAATGAAATCTAAAAGGTAGAAGAAGAGCCAGAGTAACAAAAATGCCATGACTTTAATGTGGACCTGAGTGTTAAGGTCCTTAACACCAGCACCACTTTCCTTGAGATTTCTTGTGTGTTTCCAGAGAGAGGCAAGCAAAAGAATGATTGCAATTGTGCTTAGGCACATATTTATGACATAAAATAAAAGTTGAATGGGAAGGAAAAAAAAGTCAGGAGAGCTACAAACCTCTCTTTGGCTAGCATTCTCCAGCAGAGTTTCTGTCAAATTGCACTTTGTGTGTCGAAAATAAACAACAAGTGAAGGAAGACAAGAGACCATGAAAACAGCAATGGACAATCCAAGCAGCCTGGGTACAAGCATATTAATCCTTGCTTTCAGCCAGAGAAAGAGGGGATTGGCAAAGTTGGCGACCTTCACACAATAGAAAACACTCAGCCATGTGGCACACCAGTTGCTGATCATTTTGGAAAACATCCAGGAAAAGAACGTAATATCTTCTCTGTAAATACAGGGAATATTCACTGGGAAGTAGTACAGGATGTTGAATAGCAGAAGATTCAACTGCATGATAAGTCTGAAGGCACTTGTGCTGGTCAGGAGAAAATCACAAAAGATTCTCCGTCTGTTTTGAAGCCACTGGCGTCCATTCACAACCATGATGAATCCATTTCCCAAAATACCAGTAAGAGACATCGTTCCAAAGATGACCCAAACAGGGATATCAACTTTAAATATATTGTTGCTAGTCATTACTGCTACTTTCTGGGGAAATCAATTGAAAGGAATTATGAAATCATACTTCTCTAGGATTCTGCCTGATGTCTGTTAGAGAACGCTGCTGTTCGGTTCATTTAAAACACTCAGATCACGCTACAGAGTTGGATGCAAATCTCAGGAAGATGTACCATGATATCATGTAGCTGATCAGATATAATGATTTTTTTCATGTAGACTTCAATTATAGACTTGTGTCATTCAGTTTAAATAAAAGTGAGTTGAAATTATTTAATTCAATTAATTATCTGGTTTGTTTTTCCCAGATATCAAATGGAAAAGCTGAGTTGCTAGCCATCTCTTTGGGTCCCCCCCCCCCCAAGGCAGTTTTTATTATCATCACTTCTTTTAAAAATTTCATCACATTATTTACACTTATTTCAATTAGGTGCGGGTACTCATAGATCTTTTGTACAAACATTTGTAAATCTGATTATTAGTATTTGCGCTTATTTTTGGTGCAAGTATACCTAGTACATTTTGTAGCCAGCATTCCTAGATATTATTCATTTCTTAATCTTTTATATAGTCTTTCTCTTAGTCACATTTAACTATTTGATTTTAAAGAAAAAATAAAAAGAAAGAAAAATAAAATAAAACTCCTGTGTTATTCCCATCACCCAGTCCTCGACCACGTTTTCCACGATATATTTATCTTTAGCCATATACACAGTTCTCTTAATTTCTTTATAATATCTGTATTGTCTTTATCATTTTTTATCCATTCTATGTATATTGTCCATTTTTTTTATTTCCTCTGATTTATACTCTTGGGTTATCCTCCTTTGTTATAACTTGTCATAATTTGGAATTGAACCTGTTCATATATGTAATTGTTCCACTTATCTAATGTCCACTTTTTCATCTTTCTACCCCCATGCAAATACTGTTTGTCCAGCTTGAATAATAGTTTTAAACAATTCTTGTTCTTTTCTATTAATTCTCATGTTTCCTAATATTCCCATTAGTATCATGTCTAAATTTACTTGTATAGGTATTTTAAATATTTTTTCTATCATTTTTATTATCATTTCCCAGAAGGGGGTTACTTTGAACATTTCCACCACATATTCATTCCACGGTGGCAGCACATTGGGTTTAATTCTTTTATCATATAGGATAATTGGGCTGGGGTCCTATACCATTTTAGTATAAATTTCCTTTCTAATGCTTTATATTTCTCCATTTTTGTTTTCCTTCATCCCCTTCATTATATCTTGTATTGTTTGACTGATCTTGTATTGTTCAACTAAGTGGTCCTTCTCTTTGCCATTTATTTTGTATTATTATCATCATATAGTCATTGTCCTTAACAATCAATTTGTATATTACTCCATTTAACTCTTTTTTTTATTTTTCCATTTTTTGAAAGATTTCTCCCAAATTATTTTTTCTCCATTTTTCCTTCATATTTTTCTTGTTTAAATTTGTTATATAGATCTAATAATTTTATCCAGTTCTTATCACCTGTACGTATTTCAGAAGAAGCCTCTTTGGACTGAAACATCATAAAGCAGGGCTGGAACAATACCACAACAAATTCTGTCATTTGTATTCTTATAACAAAACTTGTGGGAAACTAACATCATCACTATTAAGTATCTGCAGTAACTTTAAACTGAAAAAGTAATCTAGAGACAGTCATTTAATGTTGTGGTAGGCAAACATTTATAATAGGAAACACTTTATTCCTGTGAACAACATTACATGATTACAAGCATAGTTAATATTCAGAATTTATTTATTTTTATTTGTATCAAAAGTCTTGCATAAATTAGTATAAAACTGTTAAAAATAGAAGGGAGACAAGAGGCTAAATATCTTTTGACCAAAAATGGGCAATAGCAACCACATTGTCTGTAGCTTCCAACTATTCTTCCTCTGTACATGAGGCAGGGCACTGTGGGCAAGCATATAGATGCGGAATTGTCTGTTCTATTCCACAGTCGCACAAGGTTTCTTCTAGGTAGTGCCATTTTGCCAGGTTGTCTTTTGATCTGCCCACTTCACATCTGAATCTGTTCAGGGACTTCCAAGTTGCCCATTCTTGGTTTGCCCCTGGAGGCAGACTTTTGTGCGGGTATTTCCTGGTTTAACTCTCCAGAGGGATACTGGTTTGGGATTACCTGGTTTAGCTGTCCATGGGGATACTGGTTTGGGATTTCCTGGTTTAGCTGTCCATGGGGATACTGGTTTGGGGTTTCCTGGTTTAGCTGTCCAGAGGGATACTGCTGCTGTTGCCGGGGGAACGTTAAGAGGAGTGGTGGCTCTCATGAAGCTCTTCCTTGATTTGAGTCTACTAGGAGGAGGCTGATAGCTGTGCAGTGGGTGGCTTTCACAAGGTTCAACCTTATTTCTCTCACAGTTAGCAGCAATTTCCATCGCACATCAGAATGATGTAGTACATTAGTACATTGATTCTCCATTGCTAAGAAACACCATCACACAAGTACTTAAGCGAAACCATCAAACGATAGAATACACTCAGTTATAAATAGATAAACAGCAATATACCTTTGCAAAACAATTATCAATTAACATACGATGTTCTTGAAGGCTCCCTGCAAATTGGTAGAACCAATATGGGGAGTGTTTTTTCCTTAGGTGCCAATATTATTTATTATTTATTTATTTCATTCATTTCTACTCTGCCCAGAGGCGGCCTTTGCCTTAGGGGGCAAACAGTATTTTGCCCCCCCCCCAATCAATCACCGATATATATTTTCTGTTCGTTGTGGGAGTTCTGTGTGCCATATTTGGTTCAATTCCATCATTGGTGGAGTTCAGAATGCTCTTTGATTGTAGGTGAACTATACATCCCAGTAACTACAACTCACATATGTCAAGGTCTATTTTCCCTCAAGAGCGCCTCAAGAGCGCCCCTGGGTGAAATCAACTATACTGCAAATGCTTACTTTGCATAATGGGTTGAGCCGCCCCTGACTCCGCCCTTCTTCCCACAAAGGGGGACTCAGAGCGGCCTCACATAAGCATCAAATGATACTATCATCATATACACCACAGGAATTACAATTAAAACAGTAAAACTCAATTTAAAACATTATACAAATTCATTAGTAAATTCATTTAACAATAAATTAACGTGCTGCTACAACCAAGATCCAGCCAGGTAAATCCAATGTCGCAATGTCCAAAAATTTCCTTTCCAAGTTGCTGCTATCCTCTAGTTGAACGCCAATATACTTCCATGTATCTTGCAAATGTTGTGGAGGGCTACACAATTGGAGCCAATTGGAACATAATTTTCCTCTGACACAGTCTTGTGGAAAGAGAACCACAACTGGATTTCAGTCTGCCTAAGGCCCTTTCTACAACATTTCTGGCCCTGAATTGGACAAAGCTAAAGTTTTCCAAGGGAATATGAATAAATCAGGCATGTAGCCGGGGGGGGGGGGGGGGGCTGGGGGCTTCAAGCCCCCCCCCCCCCCGAAATTCTCATGGTGGTTCGCGAAAAGGCCTTACTGGTGCATTATTTAAACTGTTATGTTTATTCATATCATGATCTGATCACCATACTCAATATATCCCATATGCATGGGGGTATTGGGGTAATGATACAAAAGGTTTGCTAGGGGAGACCCTCTTTCACTCAGACTCAGCCCCCCCCCCCCGAATCAAACTGAGCCCCTCCCACCCCCCTGAAAAAAATTCAGCCCCCCCCCCGAAACGAAATCCTGGCTATGGGCCTGGAATAAATGATTTCAAAAAGCTGACTTTCAAGACAGGAATGAGTCCTAGTTTTAAAAGGAGTCTCCCCCACATTCCAGGAATGGAGATGTATGGAAGGGGCAGCCTACAATCCAGTCTGTACTAGGGTCTAGCCTTCATTTTCGGGATAGTTCAAGGAAGAAGTTGGATGGATTCATAGCATTCCTTTTTAGTCATTCTCCTAATTCTGGAACTTTATTCTTGAGTGCACACAGGGTGCACTCTATTTTCAGGTTATGAAGTTCTTTGCCTGCTATTCAGAATGTGAACTGCCATAGCCTTTAGTTTGGGATTAGTCAATATTAATATAACGGAGTGTGCAGAAGGAAATGAAGTTGCCAAGATCTCAGCAATTGGCCCTTTAATAACATCCAGAACCATAAGTGTCAAAGTGGTGAAATATACGAGGTAGAGAAAAACATAAGACAGCAATAGTATTATGACATTCACATGGACTTGAGTGTTGAGGTCTTTGCCACCCAAACCACTTTTCTTCAGATTCCTTGCGTGCTTCCACAGTGAAACGAGCAAAAGTGTGGATGCAATGACACTGGTGCAGAAAGTTATGGAAGTATAAGTCAGCTGCACATAAAATAGGTTTTTCTTATCAGATTCATTTTCGCTGACATTCAGTAGCAAAATAATAGTCAAATTGCCCCCACATTTTTGTCCAAGATAGTCAATAACTAAAGGAACAGGGAAGATACTGAAAATGACTATTGACATTCCAAATAGTCTGGGTACAAGCCTGTTGATCCTTGGCTTCAGCCAGAGAAAGAGGTAGCTGGTAAAGTTAGTAACTTTCACACAGTAGAAAACACTTAGCCACGTGTCAGCCCAAAGACTGGCCAGGTTGAAGAAGAGCCAAATAGCATATCCAATTATTTCTTTATAAAAACCCGTACAGGTCTCTGAGAAGGCAATATACAGAAAATAGTTCAGTAAAGATTGCAGGTGCATCATAAATCTGAAGGTGCTTAAACTAATTAAGAGGAAGTCATAAGGCAACATCTTTCTTTTTTGAAGCCACTGATGTCCCTGAACAATCATGATAAATCCATTTCCTAGAAAAGAAACCATGTATAAAATTCCTGTAATAGTCCACATAAGAATATTGAGTGGAGAAGTTGAGTTGCTATCCATTCTTCTAGGCAGATAAGAAGATCTGAGAGGATGTATCAGTATGTGTTTTCCTGGGTTTTCTTTGGTGTCTAGAAGAGAGAACACTGCCATTTGGAGATTTTTAAATAGACAGAACATACAATGGAAATCGATGCAAATTTTTGGAGTATTCTATGATAAATAACCCGATCAAGACTCAGTGATTAACAGGGTGCTGAAATAATTCCAGAATAACCTCTTGTGTTTTTAACCCAGGACTCTTTATGTAAGCTTCTTTCCCATTGGATCCTGCTTAATGATGCTTTCAGTTTAACAACCACAGTAGAAAGACTTCAGGTGAAATGGAAATTATTTCTACCTTGTCCAATTGCTTCCTCCTCAACTATTTTGTAAGCCTATTAAACAATTGCTGATGATTGATAGTTTTGAAATGTTTTAGATCACTTCCTCATACTTAAGTAGAAGGTGTTAGGGCTGCTGTAGATTATTTTCCTTAAAATTAAGAAGAAATCAAAGTTTGACTGGTAGTAAATGCAATTCTTGGAATTTGTTTCACACTATGGCCAGTTCTCACAGACACTAACATAGGACCTCTTCACATGGCCATGCAGTTGCACCTGCAAAAGGGAAGGTGCACTGGGCGGCTTGTGGCACCCCGTGAGCCCTCTCTCCTCCCCATACACATATTGGGGACAGGAGAAGCTGCTTTAACACCTTTTATTTATTTATTTATTTATTTATTTATTTATTTACTTGTATACCGCAGTTTCTCAGCCCAACAGGCGACTCAATGTGGTTTACAAGGATAAGAATCAATCAACGATATACAATTTAAAACCATAAAAGCATAATATACAATATTGACATAACAATAGACAATCTCATAACTAGAGTCGTGATCCAATCCGTCGTCCAAATTTCCATTCCTGTAATCATCACATTCATTGCACTGTTTAACCGAATGCCCGTTCAAACATCCAAGTTTTTAATCTTCTTCGGAACACCATTAGCGAGGGGGCTGATCTTACCTCCATAGGAAGGGCGTTCCACAGCCGGGGGGCCACCACAGAAAAGGCCCTGTCTCTCGTCCCCGCCAGCCGCACCTGTGAAGCAGGCGGGATAGAGAGCAGGGCCTCCCCAGAAGATCTTAGGGTCCTGGCGGGCTGATAGGCAGAGATACGTTCGGATAGGTAACTTGGGCCAGAACCGTTTAGGGCTTTAAAGGCCAACGCCAGCACTTTGAATTGAGCCCGGTAGCAAATCGGCAGCCAGTGGAGCTGGTGCAGCAGAGGAGTTGTATGCTCCCTGCGCTCCGCTCCTGTTAGTATGATGGCTGCCGAGCGTTGGACTAGCTGAAGCTTCCGAGCCGTCTTCAAAGGCAACCCCACGTAGAGAGCGTTGCAGTAGTCTAGACGGGATGTAACCAGAGCATGGACTACATGGCCAAGTCAGACTTCCCAAGGTACGGGCGCAGCTGGCGCACAAGTTTTAACTGTGCAAATGCTCCCCTGGTCACTGCCGAAACCTGGGGTTCCAGGCTCAGCGATGAGTCCAGGATCACACACAAACTGCGAACCTGCGTCTTCAGGGGGAGTGCGACTCCATCCAACACAGGCTGTAACCCTATACCCTGTTCGGCCTTACGACTAACCAGGAGTACCTCTGTCTTGTCTGGATTCAATTTCAATTTGTTCGCCCTCATCCAGACCGTCACAGCGGCCAAGCACCGGTTCAGGACCTCGACAGCCTCCTTAGTAGCAGGTGGAAAGGAGTGACAGAGTTGGACATCATCTGCGTACAGATGACATCGCACTCCGAAACTCCGGATGATCTCACCCAGCGGCTTCATGTAGATGTTAAACAACATGGGAGACAGTATTGAACCCTGAGGAACCCCACAAGACAAAGGTTGTGGGGTTGAACAGGAGTCTCCCAGTAACACCTTCTGAGACCGACCCTCAAGGAATGAGCGGAGCCACTGCAAAACAGTACCTCCAAGACCCATCCCGCGAGGCGTCCCAGAAGGATACCGTGGTCGATGGTATCGAAGGCCGCTGAGAGGCCAGCAGCACCAACAGGGACACACTCCCCCTGTCGAGCTCCCGGCGCAGATCATCCACTAAGGCGACCAAGGCTGTCTCGGTACCATGTCCCGGCCTAAAGCCAGACTGCGCCGAATCCAGATAATCCGTGTCATCCAAGAATGCCTGGAGTTGTGAGGCCACCACACGTTCCAAGACTTTGTCCAAGAAGGGGAGATTGGAAACAGACCGATAGTTGACAAATTGAGTGGGGTCCAGTGATGGTTTTTTCAACAGCGGTTTTATTACAGCTTGTTTTAAGCTGGCTGGAATTTTGCCTTCCCGAAGGGAGGCATTAACCACCACCTTCACCCACTCGGCCAATCCCCCTCTGGCCTCCTTCAGAAGCCAGGATGGGCAGGGGTCTAGGATGCATGTGGTAGCCCTCATTCCTCCAAGCACCTTGTCCACATCCTCGGGTTTCACCAATTGAAATGAATCCATCAAAACTGGACAAGCAGATGCTCGTGTTACATCCTCAGAGACTGCCGTTAATATGGTATCCAGACCAGAGCGGATCAAAGCGACTTTGTCTGCAAAGAACTGAGCAAAGGCTTCACAGCGAGCTGCCGAGTCATCAGGGCACCCATCCTGCGTGGTGGGTTTTAAAAGGCCTCTGACAACTCAGAACAGTTCAGCCGGACGGTTCTTTGCAGACGCAATAGTGGCCGCAAAGAAAGTCTTCTTTGCGGCTTTTATTGCCGCGGCATATGCCCTTAGAAAGGACACAAACCATGTTCGATTTGGCTTGCTCGCTTCAATGCTGCCAGCTCCTCAGTGAACCAAGGGGCTGGTTTAGCTCGGCTACTTGAGAGGGGACGTTCTGGAGCGATCGTGTCTATTGCCCTAGTCATCTCCCCATTCCAGAGAGCGACCAGGGCATCAACAGGATCACCAACCGAGGTGGCGGGAAATTCCCCAAGAGCCGTCAGGAATCCATCCGGATCCATAAGCCTCCTGGGGCGGACCAGCTTAATGGGTCCTCCACCTCTGCGGAGGTTGGGGGGTGCAGTGAGTCTAAAACTGACCAGGTGGTGGTCGGTCCATGGCAACGGAGAGATGGATAACTCCTCAACACCGCCACCTTCCTCCCATCCCTGGCAGAAAACCAAGTCCAATGTGTGTCCTGCACTGTGGGTGGGGCCAGATACCTGTTGGGACAGCCCCATGGTTGCCATGGTAGACATGAAGTCCTGAGCCGCTCCCGATAGAGCGGCCTCGGCATGGACATTGAAGTCCCCCAGCACAAGCAGCCGTTGGGACTCCAATGCCAGGTCCGAGACCACCCCCGCTAGCTCAGGCAGGGAGACTGTAGTGCAGCGAGGTGGACGGTACACTAACAGAATCCCTATTCTGTCCCGGTCACCCACCCTCAGATGGACGCATTCAAAATTTGTTGACTGCGGGATGGGGCCCCTGGTCAGAGGGACGGAATCTATATAGACCACTGCAACCCCGCCTCCCCGCCCTCCGGATCTCGGCTGGTGCTGCACAGAGAAACCTGGCGGCAAAGCTGGGTCAAATTCACACCTCCAGCTTCATCCAGCCAGGTCTCTGTGATGCACGCCAGATCTGCCCGTTCATCCAGGATTAAATCCTGGATGAAAGCTGTTTTGCCATTGACAGATCTGGCGTTCAACAGCACTACCTTCAATTCGGAGGGACCGCCATCCTGGTTACACCAACTTACCACATCAGGAGACCGATTTGGGATTACTAATGTTGATCCATGAACCCTAGGCAGAATTAAAGGTCTCCCTTTCCCGTATCTCCCCCTCCCCACCACGACTTCTATGGGGGCTCCTCGGCTGACAGAACACCCTCCCTCCTCCATGACGCAATCAACATCCATAACTTCAACCCATGCTTCACTGCTGATTATTTGATTTGTTGCAGGTTCAATTCGCCATGGTTTTTCCTTCCATTCGTTTGTTACCCCGACTATGCTATTTCCGGAACTCTCTAGTCCGCTCCACTCCTTATCTATACCACAGTCAGTTAGCAGAAGGGTTAACAAGTACCAGTACCAGGGGATGGGTAACAGCATGGGTGATAGATGTTGAAAAACTGTCAATAAAACAGATGGCACAAAGAAACCTTCCCAAAATACACTTTACTCCCTGTAGTCATGGAGGAAGTGCCTTTCAGAAAGTGGGTGGGAACTGTTGTGTGATGGCGCACAGCAGGCCACATCCTTGCCACAAAGCAAAGCAGCAAAATGGACCAGACATGCCCCGTGTGAGGTTGTGGTTAGCGTTAGGAAGTGGATTTAAAAGAACTGGGTTGGCTGTGGTGTTTAAATCCACATCATCTTATACAAACAGTTGAGGGACCAGTTTGAGGTTGGGATGATGGCCACAATGTCTGCTGATTGCAATCACTACCAAACCTTGAAATATTTTTTTCATTACGCATGTTGTATGTCAGACTGTTCAGCCTGCGATTGTGTCTGATGCTCATGATGATGTTCATGTTGGGAATGGTGTTCATGTTGATGTGCATAATGGGAATGGGGAAGATGGTCCTGATGATGGGCCTGAGGATGTGGGTTTGCCCAGGCCGGAGTTAAGTTCAGAAGATAGGCCTGAACATGGTCACATTTCTGGGAAAGATTTTTCACCGCTTTTCTCAGAGCAGCAGCCTGAAAATGATGATGAGTTTGGGTTGTTATAGGTTTTTTTCGAGCTATATGGCCATGTTCTAGAGGCATTCTCTCCTGACATTTCACCTGCATCTATGGCAAGCAGAGGTAGTGAGGTCTGTTGGAACTAGATGATGAGTTTGTTTTACCAGGTGCTGAAAGAGATGATGATGAAACAGAAAACAAAGTTTTAGTAAACAAAGGCAGAACTTTCAGAATCTCAGGAATTCTGCTTGTTTACAACAAAAGAAAGATAACAAAATGTTATCTAGTAGGAAAGTGAGAAAGAACGCTTTCCTGTCAGTTTTCTCAACAGTGTCTCACTCAAGTCAACGTCGTTAATTCATGCTGTTTTCGTTCTCAATGTTTCATGTATGAAGTTGTAGCCAAGTCTAAGTTTTCCCCTGAGAATTCATGCTGTTTTTCCCATATTTTCAAGTGCCTTACTCCATGGATTTCTATGAACTAATGGACCTGGTTTACTTTTAAAGTTTATGGATTATCTTGGATTCTGGACATACTGTTTTACTATTTTTTACTGCTTTGCCTACATATCTTCTACAATAAACTGTTTGCTGATTTTACCAAGCTGGTGTGGTGTTACAAGTCTGAGATGTTCCTGCTCTGGTGTACGACAACATAGTCCACTGAGACGAACACAGGAAATGAGGACAAAGGGACAGAAATAATGTGGAAATTATGTGGTTTCCATCCCATGGACTATTTAGTTACTTTCTGGTCAATTGTGTTTCAGTATTTTTTAAAGTGAGTCAGTGCTAGCAGTGTCCTGACAAACACTCCATATTTCTCTCTCAAGTTTCGAGTCCTGCATAGGATATACTATGATCCACTGGCTTATTCTGGACTATCTAGTGAGTTTGTTTAATTTCCTGTT